CTGGATATATCCTTTGGATCTTTGGATACTGCTCGAATAGATTCGACATCTTTCTCCCTCTAGCATCTGCCAATGGATCTGCGAGATTCCCTTGTAAATTCAAACTTAGATTAGGAGGGGTGGACGTCGCACGTGACGTAGTACTTTCGATAGGGGATCGCGTCGCTGGATGGCTCTGTTTCATCTTCTGCGATCCTTTAGTGTTCTTTGAATTCTTATTCTTCTTTCTCTTGACTAATCCGACCGTGTAGGTGGGTGCGCTACTGACTGTCTTCCCCCTGTTGTTCTTCCTCGGCTGCACGACCACAGGGCGTGTGGCATTGCTTTTATTACGAGTTATGATCGGTCGGAATGGTATCGGGTCGTTTTTGGCGGCGGGCGCGCTTGTACCGTACAACGTGAGCGACCATTCTTGTAAAGTCGCACGACCTATACATTGAAATGTTTTCAACACAGACTTACTGTCGCACTCAGAGTCTACTAAAGCTACACTAAGTTTATTTAGCGACTCGAGTGTGGCAGTTAGTTTACATAATATGCTAAGTTTTGTTTCTAAAAGTAGGTATCATTTTTTTTTATGATAAACAGACATTTCAGTTTTCGAAATTGGCACAATGCTTGCGAACGTAATTAAAGTTTTTTTTACAAAAATTTTATGTTTTCTTTTATATTTTCAGGCCAAAATAATAGGTATAAATTATAAGAACATACTGTAGATATTCGAAGGAAACTGCAATTTGAAATTTAGTTTAAACATAAATCATAACAGAGCACTAACACTTGCCGCATTGTCCGGCTTTACCAAACTAATGAAAGCTTTAACAAATTATATTTTAAATTCACAAGTTAAATACTTATATATTTTCGTATGAATTTTAATATCGAACTAGCCATCATTTAATATTAACCATAGAGCCTTATTTTATTTCTTAATATGAGTATTCACATGAGTTTTCTATTAAAAAATATTATTATTTCTCTCTGATTATGGTTGTTACATGACATTATCACACATCTTTAACCATGGGTTTCTAAAACTAAAATCACTATATAAAAATATCGTAGTATCCTACTAGTTCTCTATCTATGTTTGTCAAAACAGAGATAGCAATTTGTTTGGTCTCAGAAACCCACGGTAATAAAATAAAAGAAATTTCAAGTAGTAGTCGATGGTTAGAAATTTAAAACATGGACACATAAGAGTAGTAAATTTTATTTACCCATATAACGCCCTTCATTTGAGACTTCTAGTTGCCAAACGCCCAATGGAGCCTCCCCCCACATGTGAACTGACATAAAGGGCCATGAGTTGAAGCCTGCGCGAGACGAATCATGCGCCCTGCAAAAGAATACCTCAATTAACGCGAAAATATAGTACATATTTTAAAGGTACTTATGTATTATTAGCTGCAAACTACTATGGAACTAAAAATTAACCCTTAATTCGACGAATTTTTTTGTAGCCAAAAAACAGTTTTTTTTAGTAAAGTCATACTTACGTAATTTTCTCTAAACTAGTTCAGTAGATTTTTTTAATTAGTCGTTCGTCACACTGAACACCATCGAATTAAGAGTTAAAATGTTTTTTTTTGTCGCAAAATCTTTAAAAAGTAACTATGTTACTCCCGCTTAAATCAGCTACCTTCCATTCAAAATCTCGTCAAATTCGGTTCGGCGATTACCCGATACAAACGCGGACGTGAGGACAAACAGACGAACAGACAGAATGTTTAATATATTTACAAAATAGTGTTTCGTCTGTGAATTTTCACGATAAGAATCTACTTTTCTATAGAAATCTAGTTAATTTTTTCGTCTTTCTCATTTGCAAGTAAAATAGAAGGGCGTTGTAATGTCATTAATCAAAAGAGCAAAATATCAAAACATTTATTTAAAGTTTTATTTATAAGATTTTGTGAAGTGTATTCAGATTGTTTGAGAAAGATTACTTGAAGTTTTGAATTTTCAACAAATTAGAATTACTCAGAATTTATATTGAACTGAATTTATTTTATACTTGCTAAATTATTTTATTTTATTATAATATATTTGACAGCACACGGTAAAGTTGGACACAAAATCGATTGCTAAACTTATCGATTTTCGATTCGAATTCGATTATAATTCGCATAGAACTTAGATTATCCATCTCTTATAACAATTATTCTTGAAATATTTTTCTTTGTAGATCTTACGAGTTTTTAATATTAATCTATGTTAATTTCTTTGAATCGATTTCTATGACATTCATTGTCATAGTTCCATGAATGTATGAGACAATGCCGACGGCAGTGTGTCACACGCCAACAAATGTACCAATCAAATAAACAAACAACAATTCGTATAAGTCACACATTTCATTGTACAAAAGAGAATTTATTATTCATTTATTAGTTCTGTATTTTGATAAATTAGAGTTCCACAAAAGATTTGTAAAAATCAAAGCACTGATTTTAATATCAAAGAATAGAAGGTACAGTCAGCTTCATAAATACCGTAACAGACAAGATATACACATATATAAATACACCAAAAGTAATAAATTATTTCAGTACAACAAAAGTCCTCAAATTAATAGATACATTCACCCTGCTCAAATACATCGGTACATACACAGCGTCAAATATATGAGTACATGCAAGGTGCCAATATATCGTAGTAGCCACAGCGTCATAAGTAACTAGCAGTCATGATTTGCAAAAATATCCTAACATTTCACAAAATTGAACTCTATCTCTATATACTTGTAGTACAATAATTAATTACTTTTGGTGTGGCTATATATCGTAGTAGCCACAGCGTCATAAGTAACTAGCAGTCATGATTTGCAAAAATATCGTAACATTTGACAAAATTGAACTCTATCTCTATATACTTGTAGTACAATAATTAATTACTTTTGGTGTGGCTATATATTGTCTGTTACAGTATTTATGACGCTGACTGTACATGTTCTACGGCGGGAAAAAGACTTATCAATAAACTATTTGATTCCCTGATTGGTCAAATCAAAGCGCGCTGACAGTTATCCTATCCCTTTTCATTGTAATATAGAAGAGCGAGACACAAAGCATACCTGGGCGCTAGTAGTGTGACCCTGGTGCCGGCGGGCGAGGTAAGCGCTATCCTGAGGTCTCCCCGGCGCGCGGCCGACAGAGACACCCGGGCTTGTACGTGCTCAAGATAATTCACGCCGGGACATGCACTCACATCCAGCTGGAACAAATCATCATCTCACTTACACTGTACATGATCATGTTCTCATCAGAAACAAAAGATTTTGGAAACCAAAATTTATGGATTGGTTGAGCAAATTATAGGAAAATTGGCAAATAAACTGAAGTTGCTAGTATTAAAAATTATAACTACAATGGATTTAAAAGCAACGTATACTTTTGAAGTTTAAACACATTATGAAATATTTTGTCTCCTCCAAGGAATACTCAGAAAATTGAAACAACTGGAGATTGCATACCATCTCTGTTACTGAGTACTGAAGTAATAAAGCGAATGAAAACTGATACAAACACTTCAATGAAATCAGTAACGTAAACGAACATCCCATAGCAGTATACACAGAATTATGCAGCCAACGAGATGTCACGATTGACGCACAAGTTTTAACTTGAAGAATGTTGTTTAAGTAACAAACGTGTAGTCAGAAATATTAAAACCTTTATCCTTATATTTCTTTATCCTCCTTCAAGTTTTATAGAATACATTTAGGTAAAAGATATTCACAACTGAACGAGAAGGAAGACTCTATCTACTAAAGAAAGCTATCATGGTAGTCTACTTAAAGAATGTGGAGGAAACTTTTACTTTCACAAATTAGTATTAAGTTAACACGTTAGCTGCCAGAATGATTTTTCGAAAAACGATTTTTTTTATTTTGTCCAAAACCATTTGAAAACACCTAAAAATATAGTAATACCATATTTACATTGCCACACCGAGGTGTTAAATGGAAGTATGGCTTGTCGGACTATATTCCCGACATGGCAGCTAACGTGTTAAACAACAAATTAGAGTACCATTTCACCACGTGTCATGTAAACGCACTTCTCTACATTATTATGCCATCTTTCCAGAGAGCAACTAGCTGTCCGAATCTGGCCTGGTACGACTACTCTTTGTTTGACAATCGCGGCAACGATTCAAATAGCAATGAAGTGGGTAATGAAAACTTTTTCTAGTATAAAGTGGTAAACGATTTCGTGTTCGTGTTCGTGTTACCTGCAGTACAACAGAAGACTTGGGCGGCACAGGTCGCTGCGGGCGCGGTGCGGCGAGCTCGCAGCGTCTCTGCGGCGGCACAGTGCGCCACGAGCGTGCCAGCCGCACCATGCCCGCCGCGTCCAGCAACCCGTACCCGAACGAGTGGGACACGTTGCGTCCCACACCGTTCACACGCCAGTTGCCGTCCAGGCTCAAACGTTCAGGTCGAGCTGTTCTAACAACTGATTGACAAAGTTCCACTTAAGTAACTTAGAATAGGGAGCGTCGGTGGCTCAGGGGTTAAACACTTGACTTCTAATTTGCAGGTACTAAAGTGTTTTTCGATTTTTTATTTACAAATATGCATTTATGCGACGTTTTTATAGTAAAGGAAAGCATCGTGATGCAACCTGCACATATCTGAGAAGAGATTCAAAGATATGTGTGAAGTCAACCAACCCGCACTGGGTCAGCGTGGTTAAGTATGGCCTAGTCACCCCTAACTTAGTGTAGGCACCAAGCCCCTCAGTGGGGACGTATAGCGAGTGGATGATGATGAAGATACAATATTGGTATATATCTGAAGTAGCTGGTAGTGTGTTTATTTAATGCATTTTAGTTATAGTAATTACTGTGAACTTTTATGTTATTTAAACACACCACAAAACCGTAGTATCATAATCCGGTGTTGATAGTAAAATTGATTTTGGCACAATTTATTCTATGACCTTTGTGTTTCAATCTGCCCTGAACCACTGGTGTTAACCAGTAATTAGACAGTAGTGTGGTACACAAAGAGCATACCGATATGCTGCATGTCTCGCCATGTGAGGTCGCGGTTGGCTTGCAGCGCGAGTGCGCAGATGCCGGCTGCGAGTGGAGCTGACGCGGACGTGCCCGTGTGTGTCACTGTGCATGAGTGATGCAGGTCCGTTGTTACAACCTGCACAAAATATTATAATTACTATTGTTGGCAGAACCCCAAGAACTAAAGCTAAATATTGTGAGTTCCATATACATTCGTAGATAACAAATTTCATCATCTCCCTGGCATTAGTCCTCCAAATCTATAATTCATAACAGTCGCCACTTCTTCTTAATCATGTTGCCCTCTACACTATCTCTTCGGAGGTCAACCTTCACACTTTAGTACCTTATTCTACTACTATACTAGTATACCTGTTTCTCGTTAATAGCTCCGCTGCTGTAGGTAGTGGCTAGCGTGGAGCTGCACATCTCCGAGTACCAGGGCACCTCGCCGCGTTCTGTGGCCGAGGATATGGATAGCGTCCAGATGGAATTAGTGTAGCCGTCGCAGTTGCAATTGTCGTGCTCCCGCCCGCCGTTGCCGGACGCCCATACGAATATTGAACCTTTTCCGTTACGACCCTGGAGACGAAGATATAATCAGAAAAAACAACAGACTGCTAAAACTAAAGCTGTTGTAGAATTTGGTGACAAAGAAACGGACAAACTTACCACTAACCCGCCTGCACAAAATACAACATTCAACTCAAGTTGGTAATCGGCGAATTATCACATTTCGTTGCTTTAATCAATTTGATGATTAATTATAAGCTTAAATTCAATAAAGATAAGACTTAACACACTTTAGTAACAGAAAACATGGTAATTATTAAATACCTTAGTAACACCTTCAATAAACGCTCTGGTAGCTAGCTCGCCGGGACCGTCGACAGTCTTCCCATCATCATCTGGTCCCCAGGAGGCGCTGTAGATGTCCACGTGCTGAGGGTTGAGGCTCAGGGACCTGGCTTCCACCGCATCAGTTACGTCACCGTCCAACATACGTACACCTGGTTAAAAAGAACCAAAGTCGTACAGGAAAGACATGATGAATGAAAATGGATACAGGATTTGCCCCACATTAGATTTACCACGTTCATTGTATTTAACTAATGATCGAAATTGTAGATATTTCGCCCTTATGATGGTGAAAAAAATTATTTTTAGTATTATTAACGTAGGTAGTTTATATTTTCGTTCAAAAATGTATTGTAATTCATTTTCATGTGACATTCTCGACAAACCGCTTTCGTTTAATAAAATTGTCTTCGTTTTAATGAAAACAAATGAACAATGATTTAAAAACAATTTTGTTATTAGAAAACTTTTTCATCCCCGGGTTTGATATTTCAAAAATCCTTTAATAGTACTCGAGTTCGTAATAAAATGCTCTTTATATAAAATTCCACATGCCTATGTTCATTAAATTTTGTGATGTATCAACTATCAAGATAAATTGAGTCGGCCGCGTGAAATTCAATATTACACGATAATAAACAATTACTGAGTTGTTGCTACAACGTAGCTATCAAATAACATATGACAAAAGAATTATAAAAACAATTTGGTTCATATTACTAATATTATAAATGCGAATGTTTGGATGTTTGTTTGAAGGTATATAACATCAGTATGGATATCGCTGAAATTTAGCACACATGTAGAACGTGATCTAGAAGAACACATAGGCTACTTATAATATATTTTTTTACTTCTACGCGGACAGAGTCGCGGCCGACAGCTTGTCTTTTACATGACTGATACTGAAATCCAGAATAAAGTTAACTGGCTCTACTTTGACAGATTGAAAGAAAAACCTAATAAAAGGTATATAAATTTAACTATTATTATTAATGCGAAAGTTTAGATGAATGGTTGGATGGGTAAATGGTAAGAAGGTATCTCCGGAATGGCTCAACGGATCCTGATGTGATTTAGCACAGATCTAGAACATAGACTTGAAGAATGAACAAATAGGCTACCTATTAAGTTTATTAATACCTTGAGGACAGAGTCGCATGAGATTGATATTCATGAATAATGACCAATTAAAAGTTTCACGGCATAAAATGAGAGCAACGGAACCACTTGTTAGTGATAAAAAGCATTATCTTATAATTACTATTTATAAGTTTTGCGGTTTTCCATATCAGCACAGTTCTGTCTACCAACAAAACTACTTATTGTGTACATTTTCTATTTCATTTTGAAGTTTTTTTTAATAGTGACAAGACTTATTTGATTATTTTATTAATCAATTGCCAAAACGGATAAACATTGCATTTTGCTCGCACCATGTCGGTCCTTGTCGGTCGAACCTTGTCGGTTGCAAACATATCTTTAAATAATGATCTCATAGATGTCTAGGCAAAAATTAATAAAAAAGTGCCGACCAGGTCGGCGTAGGAACATACTGTTGGTTGCATTGGTGCCATACTCAGAGACTAAAAATCAAATTACTTTGACTGTAGTCATACGTTCTTTTTTTATTTCTTCACTAGCTGTCGCCCGCGACTCCGTCCGCACGGAATTAAAAAAAACATAACATATTGGTCATAGCGTAATGTTATATAGCCTAAAGCCTTCTTCTATAAATGGACTATCCAACAAAAAAGAATTTTCAAATCGGACCAGTAGTTCCTGAGATTAGAGCGTTTAAACGAACAAACAAACAAACCAACTCTTCCGCTTTATAATATTAGTATGAATACAGTGTCATTATGCTTGTGTCTTTACGAAGTGTGTTTTAGTAATATTTCAATTACTTAATACGGTACTTTCTCTTACCTCCAACACTTGCTCCAAAAGCGACGCCAACGGCGCAGAGCGAATTGTTGGCGGTAGCGGCGACCTCGCCGGCACACCGCGTGCCGTGTCTGTTGGAGTCAATCATGTCGTACCTCGGCTGAGGGTCGGAGTCGTGGGAGTTCACGTCATACGATGCCATCGGATCCTGGAAGGAAAAAATCGATTAATTCTGTCCCTTGATTACTAAGGAGTACATCTAGGACGTTCATTTGTTTTACATTGATGCTCACGTTGCAATCATGTCGGAAACATGTCACAATACACATGACAATATCTTATATATAAAATTCTCGTGTCACAATTTTCGTTCCCATACTCCTCCGAAACGGCTTGACCGATTCTCATGAAATTTTGTGTGCATATAAAGTAGGTCTGACAATCGGCCAACATCAATTTTTAATCCCGCGCGGACGGAGTCGCGGGCAACGGCTAGTAATCTATATAGCTCTTAGTGGAAACCGTGCAAGCACGGGATTGGAATCCAAGGGATTGTACTGGAATAATACAGGAGTGTGTGGTTTGTAGATTAACAATAGTTAATACTCCTAAAATTTTCTTGTGACTTTTGCCGAATAATTCTTGTCTAATTTTAATTTCCAGAACAAAATAAATTCAACACAAAATGTCATTTCAATGCTTGTTCATTCTTAAGTTTTTTTCCTTCCTTATATTTGTGTACACGACTAAAATACCATATTTTTTGGATTATAACGAAAAAACAGAATCGTGTATCGTGCTTTAATATAATACATATGGCAAGATAACAAAAATAGAGTGTAGTAAATGAAACGCAAATGTGATTCGTTTGTACTTTTTGTGAAAACGCTCTCCCCCTTTTGAAAGCTGAAATATGAATGAAGATCCACGACCGTAATAGATCACGTAACTTGAAACTCGCCTTTTTTTCTGACAAATATTGCTCCGTATAAAGATCCCTTACCGAACCATTTGTCCGGATTTCGGCAATGTTTTTACATCACTTCACTAATGTTATTAACATCAAAGGTGTGAATGTTCAGTTTTATTTGTATTTAAATTGTGAACTTAGGTTTTATTTGAATTGTCGTGATGTTAGTATTTGTTGTAACTTATATAACTTTAAACATTATTAATTAGAATTCTTTGGCGCGTATGGCGCGCTTTCATTGCAAAGTGAAGCGTCAGAATGATTAGTGAAGGGACATAAACGTCGACATTTTAGTAAGGCTAGTGTTGTGCCAATACACCAGCATAGTATCGGGTTTCCTTCCTAACAATAGAAAGATTTGAAGCAAAATTACAGCAACTTCTTTAATGAAATACAACCTAAATTGTAACTCCACCAAATTCTTTTGTACAAGACAAATTACACCAGTGAAAGGAATCTATACTAATCCTTTAGGTGCAGCCAACAGAGACCGAGCGATGTATCTTCAAAGTAGACTTTTAATACAGTCTGTATCGCCTTATTATTTAGATATTAAGGTGAACGAAACAGTAATTCCCCTCACAACAAATATACCGTTGATAATGACTTTACTTACGTAATTAGCGATGAGATCAGGATGGTCAGTTTCGAGGCCGTCATCGAGAATGGTGACCACAACACCACGGCCAGTGATACCTTCCTGCCACGCGGGGATAACGTTCATATCCAAACCACCACCTCGATTCTACAAACAAATTACATTGTAGTCTGACCAATAATATTTTAATATTTAGAAACTTAAAGCCACTTCATACATTTGAAGCGCCAATAGCCATTGATGCTTAAACCCTTACAACCTCAAAGTTGTAGATACGAATTTCCAATGAAGTTGTCATGGATTCGAATCCCGACATTCAACTATTACTGTGAACCATATCTTAGCATCAGCCTGAAGCTTATTTTGAATTATTACAAGAGTAATTCTTAACAATCTGCTAGATTTTCGTTATAAAAACACACAAATTTTAACAAGTTATTATAGTATTTTAAACTTAATAATTTTCATTGAAGTCAAAAGTTTCTAATTTACTTTTGCGTAAAATTTGTTTTTAATTCTTTTGGTGATTTAACTTACCAGATACCACATGTGTGACCATTTGGGGTCGTTAAGCAGGAACCTGGGGTCGAGGGAACGCAGACGGCCTTTGACTCGCGCGCGCTGCAGCTCCCGTCTGCCCGCCTCGCGCTTCGTACCCACTGACGGGTACGGATCCGATGTTACCGTTTCAACTATAACAAATATATTTCTTTTATTTTGTGCCACTTTGACTATTGATAAACCGCGATCTATTAGAAAAAGTCGTCAAGTGGAATGAAGAGGTTTAATTTCAATCTTCTACCTTAAAGTTTGGACATAATGAAATGAGTACGTATTGTTAGTAAAATTGTGACTTTTAAATTCATAAATAAGTGTATAATCTGTATTTATGGAAATATAACTTTATATAGTCAACTTTAGTTGCTTTATGATGAATGAATTTCTTTCATAGGTTAATTACTTGATTCCATTAGTATTTGTTTGGTATGTATGGTAACATATAAAATCCTTCTTTACCTGTAGTACTGTTATTGTATAATATCTGGAAGTCCCTCTTTTTCCTGGAGAGGGCTCGCTGCTGCTTTGCCCAGTGTACTCTGGCGTCATTCTCCAATCTGCCGTGATGCTCCGCCGCCGGCCGCAGCGACCGCCGCGACACCGAGTTATGATGAAAGTGGAAGTGGTTGTCGAATATCTACAACAAATAATTTTATTAAAAAAGTAAAAAAAGAAAAGTAACAAAGTAAAAAGTTTCGTTTTTAAATGGTATTTAATAGTGAGAAATCTATATAGGGAAGTAAGAAGCTCCCAAAGTAAATTTTACATACATTCGTGTACGAATTTTAATAATATTTTGTATATTTAATCAAAGTATTGGGAAACTTATATGCTACTGACATTTCTTGGTATATAGACGAAGTAGATGTTAAACCAGAGTATACTAACTAGTACGTCTATTGACTACAATTTTGTTGATTACCCCAACAAAGTTATCACAACTTCTAATTATATGCGAAGGAAATTACACTTAAAAAACCTCTAGAACTCTATTCTTGCATTCTCAAGGGTTATCAAACTCAATAAAACATGAAATACCAAAAAATATCGCCACATTTTCTAAAAATATATCGTCTTTTTCCGCTCTGAAAATTGAATGTTATCATTCAATTTTGTTCCGAAAATAACGCAGCAATATACTATCCAAATTTTATAACGATGGTTACCGTATTGTATATACAGATTAATTCGAAACGAATAAATCACAAACAATACAAAGTTATTTTAAACTACCCTCTCAATAACTATAAAATTATACAGATTATATAGGTTACGAAGCCAACAGATAAAAATATAGTGCTAAGGCCGTCTACACACGTTCAGTATTAACTAAACTATTTTAAGTGTATAAACACTGTCAATTAAGCTGTAAAATTTTGGTCGTGGTTATTGCAGCGATCGAGCTGGCCCCTACGTGCGACAGATTACTGGCGTTTACCGCTGTTATGATGTGTGAATAACAAATATATATATATATTGTAAAAAGTAATTCGATAATGCATTATTTATAAAGTAAATAGAAATAGTGATTGCTTTTTATTTTCTGCAAAACCTATGTTTAAATGTACTACAAACGTATAGAATTCCGTATTTTGACAATCCTAAATTCTTTGTTCTCTGTTCACAGTTTGAGCTACACGAGAGTTTTGTACGTAACAATGGCGACTCACAATTACATATAGACGCCTGCATTGCAGCTGAATCAAAAATACGACTATGATAAATATTTATATCTGGCCAGAACTTAAAGCTTTGCAAATTATATATTTGGAATCATGGAAAGCTTCATCTCAAATTAATAAAGTGCATTTTATTATAATTAAAATTACTATAGGTTTCTGAGACTAGAATACATGTATAAAACATATCGTCATACTTAACAAAACAGAGATAACAATTTATTTTACACGGGAATTTTGGTCTTAGAAACCCACGGTTAAACAGTTTTTATATTTAGGGTCTATATAACGTTACAAACAAGAACGTAATAATAGATAAAGAGATTGTGAACATCTTGCTAATATTATAAGTGCGAATATTTAAATGGATCGATGGATCTTGATGAAATGTAACGTAGATGTAAAACGTCGTCTAGAAGAACACATAGGCTATTCATTATTTTTTTTTAATTCCGCGCGGACAGAGTCATGGGCGACAGTTAGTAAAGATACATATGACGAATATCTATTCGAAACAAAGTAAACAAACAAAACAATCCTCTTTATAATATTAGTATTCATAAAACTAAACTAAATAAAATTCCAATGTTAAACATACATAACTCTACTCGAAATATTGACATAAATATATAATAGCTATAAATCATGAAGTATTAAGAAAATTATTTCCGCTACAGACGAATAAACCCATTCATAAGTTGCGACAATCCGCGCCATCTTTACCGATGATTCAAATATTCTAACAGCCTTGACATAAAAGAGAGTTATTCGCCGCCGGGCCACGGTTCCCCACTGGCTCCATTCCAAACGCATATCGATCCAGTTCAAACGGCCGCGTCTCAGCTGGGATCACCACCTATTAATTACCTTCTTGACACATTACCATATCTTCATAATCGATTGTTATTAGGAACAATTAGCTAATACAAATTCAATTTCTCATAATACTGCTAGCTGGTATCTCTAGTAGGTAATAGTTACAGGCTTATAGTCAGCCACGATCCTTGTAATCCAAGACAGGGAGCTTCTTCCTTGCGAAATTCCCAACTGAATCTTTTGCGACATTTACCGTGATTTCGAAACCTTGCTGTCATAACAAAATTGTCTTGTCTTAATCGATTCATGCAAAATGCAAATGCAAAAATATTGTAGCATTTGATGTTGTCTTTGTTGAAAGACAGATCTGTAGACTGTAAACAAATGAATGATTGTTGTTTGAAGGTCACCAAATCTAATAATAAAGGATAATCTTAACTCTAACTGCTAATCTGAAATTCGTTAATTGAATACTCAATCTACACTAAAGGTCCCAATTAAAGACTGTGAGAAAATCTTAATACCTACGCCTGCTTCACTTGAGAGAAGAAAGATGAAATCGATGACAAAGAGCAGGCGAATTAATTAATGCAGTCCCCTTGGTCTGCATAAAGAGAAGTGCTTCGTTTGAAGACGGAACATTCAACAAAGAATGTAAACATGGCTGAGTACTTTGATGTTAAAAAGACTATAGGAATCCAATTAAGAAACATTTCTTTCTTATAATTGTGCTGAAATACTACATTGGGATTCTTTATTGGTTAATCAATTATGTGTAAAGACCAGTTATTAGATGTCAGCATAGTAAGTGTTAAATATTCAATAATAAACATCGAAGTTTATTAATAAACTAGCTGTTGCCTGTGTCCTCGTCCACGCGGTTTAAAAGGAACTTGATTAGTTACCTAAATGTTGTTAAAAAAAAATGTTCATCCAGATTATACGAGGGACGGCTGATAGAGATGTATGGAGGAGTAGTACATACTGTGCCGACCCTCGATAGGGATAAGGGCAGGTTGATGGTGATGGTGATGTTCATCCAGATTATGTTCTACGTCTATGCCAAATTTCAGCGAGATCCATGGAGCTTCTCTGGTGTGACCTTCTAACAAATATCATTCCATCTATCTAAACTTTCGCATTTATAATATTAGTAAAGTAATATACAATAGTCAGGATCAGTAAAGCAAATCGACAGTTGCTATCAAACGACAGTAATTTGCCTACAGCAGAATCAATTGACTGCGTTAAGCTCAATCATTACGCCTTATTGTATTTTATTGGCGAAGCGCTACTGTTGTAATGTATACTAAAAAGATAGCCAAGACCATCATTATATTGAACGTTGGACAAAACTAAATAAAATGGTATATATAATCTTACTAATATTATAAATGTGAATGTTTAGATGAATGTTTGTTTGAATGTATCTCTAGAACGGCTGAACAGATCTCAATGAAATTTGACATACATATAGAACATAGTCTGGAAGAGCACATAGGCTATTGACTGTGTTTTTTTTTAATTCAGTTTGGATGAAGTCGACGTCGACAGCTTGTTACATCATAAATTAATCGATCTCTTTAAATCGAGCCTTAATTAATATGGAACTATCAAAATGTTAACTTCTATATTCAGAGTCGTTCTTCACTAAGGGACAAGATTAGTGTGAATATCATCATCTGAGACGCTACAGCCGCGAGTTAGCCTGGGCCCGGTCAAGTAAATTTCAGATCTTAACTTGCAAGAGATTGAAAGATAATATTAAAAACTAGCTGTCGCCCGCGACTCCGTCTGTGTGGAAATACAAAAAAACTTAATTTGTGTGGTCCACCCATCCATCCACATCACATCCATCTAAACATTCGCATTTAAAATATTAGAAAGTTAAATAAAAAGGAGCTCTTCAAGGCATAAATTCGAAAAAACAAATCATATGTTCTTCTACTCACTTTCTTTTATATATAGATAAGGTTTTCGGCATATGGATGTAGCCAGAGGTAAATAACACAAAAATAAAATTCTTCATGCATATTAAGTAGCTTACTAATTTAATAATCAATTTTAATAAAATAAAGCATGTTGCAAAAAAAGTACTCTAAAGATATTAAAATAAAAAAAAATATATGTTATCGTAATATAAAGATGCACTGATACACTTGTAAAACATGCTGTCTCTGTTTTTTACAAAGAGTATGAGAGGGACAACAATATGTTTTAATACAGTTTTGACAATGAAAACATAGCAGAGATAAAATCACGAGCTTGCACCGCAGACGGGTTATTTTTAGCCGACGCCGTGCATTGACTGGCGACGTCATATTTAATGTCTACAATTAAATGCGAATGAAGTGCGTACTTTTTACATTATTAATTTTTTATAAGATATTTTTAAAACCTCGTACCTTTTATGAAAATTTTGTTCGTTGTTTATTTTAAGACTTGTATTTTTATATGTTCTTTAAACATCCTGTATCTTTTGACGTGAATATAGATTTGTATAATACTAGAGCATCGGTGGCTCAGGGGTCAAGCACTTTGCTTGCGATGTGCAGGTCCTGGGTTCGAATCCCGCTATGTACAAATGTGTTTTTCGATTTCCAATTTACATATGTACGTTTATCCGACGTTCTTACGGTGAATGAAAACATCGTGATGCAACCTGCACATATCTGTGAAGAAATTCAAAGATATCTGTGAATTCAACCAACCCGCACTGGGTCAGCATAGTTGACTATGGCCTAATCACCCTTAACTTAGGGTAGGCTTCGAGCTCCTCGGTGGGGACGTATAGTGAGCTGATGATGATAGTTCTAGCTGTTGCCCACGACTGCGTCCGCGCGGAATGAGAGGAAAACCTAATTAGTAGCCTATGTGTTCTTCCAGACTACGTTTTACATCTATGCCAAATTTCAGCGAGATCCATAAAGTCGTTCTGAAGATACATTCAAACAAACCATACATCCAAACATTCGCATTAATAATATTAGTTAGATTTGACTTGATAGAGTCCTACTTGGTTGATTGTAAATCATATGCCACATAGTCAGATTTTAACCTCTTAGGCATAACCGAAGAAATGCGTTATAGTATTTATGTATACTATACGATTTTATACATGGATTTCTTTGAACGTCATACA